CAAATTTCCCCTCTACTTCTTTCTCCGATCCGATCGCCGGCGACTACTTTTCCGGAGAGGAATCACCTGCCGGTTCGCGCTTTCTCAGCCATGACCGACTCCAACGATGTCGGAATGGATGCTGTTCAGAGACGACTCATGTTTGAAGACGAGTGAGAAATTCGATTCATTTTCTTCCATTTTTGATTTGGGTTTGCTTTATTAATCAAGGTTTTTATTACTTAAGCTAATTCCACAAGGAATCTTCAGAACTTCAAGCATCTATACGCAAAAAATCTGTCTAGAATGAGACAAAATTATGTTGGAGGAATCCTGGAAAAAAAACTTAAGCTGAGACTCTATGTTTTGAGGAAGATACTGAGCTTTTGAAAAAAAAAATGCTAATTTCTCACATTTGATTCGAAAGACCGGAAATATGTAACGAATGGACTGAAAATACCATGAAATGTGGGTGGCTGCTTCATGTTCTGAAGATTATTTCATGATGATGGATGAATCTTTGCTTGACTCAATCACTTCTTCATAGCTTTACCTCACATGGTGGCTTTGATCACGTATCCAATTCATTCTCTTTGCTGTTCGCAGATGCATTCTTGTTGATGAAAATGATCGTGTGGTGGGTCATGACACTAAATATAACTGTAAGTGCATTTGGATCTGTTTTCTTGGTTTCTCACATGTGCCTTAGCAAACCTGTTTTCGGAATGTGTGGCTTAGCTAATAGTTTGAATGCAACCTAGTTGGAATTCAGTGTTGATGAAAGTTTGAAGCTGAGTATGAAACTTAGTTGGATGGGTAAAACTGACCTCCTTATCGAACCTGCAGGTCATCTTATGGAAAAGATTGAAGCTGAGAATTTGCTTCACAGAGCTTTCAGTGTGTTTTTATTCAACTCCAAATATGAGTTGCTTCTCCAGGTAATTTGCTTATGATCGATCATCTTGATGTGTATATGACGAGTCTAGGTTTAGAAACCAATATCTAAATAGGCTTGTCAAGATAGCTTATGTTTTTATTGGGCATGGTAGTTCTGTAATGTCTGAAACCAGACTGTTAAGTTGCTGAGCTGGCAGAGTAAAAGAGTAAAGTGAAGCCTTGATTGTTGCAGAGGAATATAAAGAGGTTAGGAAAACACAGACACAACTGTAGATATAAAAATACTGTAGCTACTGGTAGTAAGGCAGTGGATTGGGTCATAATCTAGATTCAAGGGGGTTTGTTAGCCAAGCTTTTGAAAATCACATAACTTTATCAAGTTTTGGTTGCATTTATCTACCGATGATTGGTTGGGTTTTGACTGATATTCTTATCTTCTCTTCTGGACAGCAAAGGTCAAAAACAAAGGTTACTTTCCCACTCGTGTGGACAAACACTTGTTGTAGCCATCCTCTTTACCGTGAATCTGAGCTTATAGCGGAGAATGTGCTTGGTAACTTGCTGGAAAATGATTAAAACTTTATGAAACATCTTTGAAGAAGCTTTCACTGGTGAGGAGCTATTACACACTGATTCACTACTATTTGATCTTTTCTCTACCAGGTGTAAGAAATGCTGCACAAAGAAAGCTTCTCGATGAGCTCGGTATTGTAGCTGAAGATGTACCAGTCGACGAGTTCATTGCCTTGGGACGCATGCTTTACAAGGCACCTTCTGATGGAAAATGGGGCGAGCACGAACGTAAACAACCATCCATGTTTATTTATTTCTCCTTTGATTCTACTACAGGCTATGGTTATAGATCTGAGAGTCTCTGTGGATTCTTTATTTTGGCAGTTGACTATCTACTTTTCATCGTGCGGGATGTGAAGCTTGAGCCGAATCCGGACGAAGTGGCTGATATAAAGTATGTGAGCAGAGAAGAGCTTAAGGAGATAGTGAAGAAAGCAGATGCAGGTGATGAAGCTGTGAAACTATCTCCATGGTTTAGACTGGTGGTAGACAATTTCTTGATGAAATGGTGGGATCATGTTGAGAAAGGAACTCTTATTGAAGCTGCAGACATGAAAACCATTCACAAGCTCTGAACTTTTTACAAGTTTTGTATGTATCTTCCTCATTTGATTCTTTATTGTAAGAAAAGATTGACACTCTGTCAATAGATTCCAAACAAAACTAGCAACAATATTTGAATCTGTTTTACTTCCTGAATTACAATTTAC